AACTCTCAGGTTGCGCTCCACTTGCCGCGACAATGTGCTGGTTTCTGCGGGCCCAGCTACTCGGCGCGGATGGCCCCGCCCACCGTGCGCGCGGAAGCGCTGATTGCCCTCGACAGCGCAGTGCGCGCCAGCCTTGAGCATCTGACGAGCAGCGCCCCCACGGGCGGGAAGGCGCGCCACGGCGCGCCAGTCGCCCGCCAAGGCGCCGTCGTCGAGGAAGAAAAAGGCCAGGTCCAATGTGCCCTCGGCCGCGGGGGCGGGCTGGCGGATGGCCCTCTCCGCAGCGCGCTGCAGCGCCGAGGAGGAGGAGGGCGGCGGCCCCAGGGGGTCTCCTTGTTGCGCGCCGCATTCCGAGCGGATCGAATGGCGGCCGAGCCAGAGACAAGAGGGCGCCCGGTAGCACCAGGAAGCCCAGGGCGCAAGAGCGGGCAGCTCCTCGCGCGTAGCTTGCACGAGGGCTTGGCGGTCGAGGGAGTTGCCCGCTGCCTGCGCGGCGCGCGAACCGCTGTCTCGACGCGCGAACCGCCGCCTCGCAGCCGCCTGGGAGGGCAACGCCCACCTGCGCAAGGGCATGGCGGTCGCGAGCGGCGTCGGCTACCTGGCTGCAGAGGCGCTTCGCCAGCAGGCGCCGCGCAATTCCCCCCGCGGCCACCAGTCGGAGGCCGCCGTCCTTCTTGGGCAGGGCCACCGCCGGCGAGGCGCCAGCCAGGTGGTCCGCCGCGCCACTGGGCGCCTGGCCCTTCGCGAGGAGGTTGGCGAGAGCGAGCAGCTGCTGTAGCACCTCGTCGCAGCGGGCCGTCGTCTGCATCGCGCCCTCGAGGTGCCGCGGGCGCGTGCCGGAGGGGCCCGGGGCGGAGCCCCAGGGGGAGGCCCGCGCCTCGCGCTCGAGCGAAGCGGCGTCTAGCTGCGGCGCCGCCGCCGCGTTGGCGACAGGGGGGCGGGCGGCGCCCGCTGGTTGCTGAATGGGCGGGCGTTTCTGGCGCATCTGTTCCAGCGCTGCCTCGGCGACCTCCGCTGGAGGCTCGCTGGCGAGTGCCGAGCAGCTTTTGGAATGCTGCGCGTCCGCCGCGAGCTCCAGGCAGCGCTGCGCTCTCTGGTCCTCTCGGGAGGGTTTCGCGGTGCCTCGCCGGCCCGCTGTCCCCGCCCAAAGCGAAGCGCGCTCTCCCTCCAACCGGCGCTGGCAATGGTTTTTGGTCAGGGCTTCCGCTGCGCCCCTGCTGCCACGGCCCCCGCGCGCGCGTGGGCGGAGGGCGCGTGTGGGCAGCGTGGCGAACTGGAGCCGCGCCTCCTCTGTGTTTTGGTGCACGGCGAGCGCCGCCGCCTGCGCCGAGCAACGGGCCTGGAGGATCCGCGCCCCCTTCGGCACGTAGTGTTTTGTGCTCGCTCATCGGAGCTTCTGGGAGCCTCTGAGAGCCTCTGGGGGCCTCTGAGAACCTCTGGGAGCGTCTGAGAGCGTCCTTGATCGTTTGGGAACATCTTGAAGCGTCTGAGACGCGCTGGGGGCCTCTGAAAACCTCCGAGAGCCTCTGCAAGCTTCCGAGAGCCCCTGTGGGTATCTGGGAGCTTCTGGGAGCCTCCGAAAGCTTCTGTAAGCCCCTGGTGGTTTCTGGTAGCCTCTGGTAGCCTCTGAGAACTCGTGGGAGCCTCTGAGAGCACCGGAGAGCTTCTGAAAGCTTCTGGGTGTTTCTGAAAACGACTGAACCTTTGGGAACATCTGAAAACCTCTGATAGCGTGTGGGAGCCTCTGAGAACGTCTGAGAGCGTCTGGGAGCGTCATGGGAGCGCCTGGGAGCGTCTGGGAGCTTCTGGGAGCCTCTGGGGCCGTCTGGGAGCCCCTGCGAGTTTCTGAAAGCCTCTGACTGCCTCTGGGAGTGTCTGAGAGCGTCTGGGATCGTCTGGGATCGTCTGGGAACATCTTGGAACGTCTGAGACGCGCTGGGAGCCTGTGAGAACCCCCGAGAGCCTCTCTGAAAACCTCTGAGAGCCTCTGGGGGCATCAGAGGAAGCCTCATGCAGAGAGTATCAGACAATGATTGAAAGCCTTTGGAGATCTTTGAGAGCATCTGAGAACGTCTGGGAGCCCCTAAGAACGTGTGGGCGCGTCTGGGAGCGTGAGGGAGCCTCTGCGAACCTCTGAGAACCTTTGATAACTTCTCGAAGCGTCTGGGACCGTCTGCGAGCCTCTGAAAGCGTCTGGGTACTGTGAGCGTCTGGGCGCATTATGAGAGTCTCTGGGTGCTTCACAGAGTCTCTAAAAGCAGATGAAAGCGCCTGGGAACGTCTGGGGGCTTCAGAAGGCTTTTGGAAATCTCTGGGAGCCGATGAAAACTTCTGAAAGCATCTGAGAGCGCCCGGAGACCGTCTGGGGGTCTCTGAAAGCCTCTGGGGCCGTTTGCGAGCCTTCGGGGGCTTCTGAAAACCTGTGATTGCGATTGGGAACGTTTGGGTGCCTCTGTGAGCTTCTGGGGGCCTCTGAGAGCTTCTGAAAACATCTGGGAGCCTCCCAGAGCCCCTGGGGGCCTCTGGGAGCCGCTGGGAACCTCCGAAAGCATCTGAAAGCTTCTGGGTGCCCCTGAGAGCCACTGGGACA